TACTCTTCAAGTGGGTCCGTTCTTTGCTATGTTTGTCATACCTCAATGAAGCTTAGGAAAAAAATTAAAGCAAGGAGTAACTAAATGTATTTTCATATGTCTAATTGTTTTTTGGGTATTAAGGATTGAACCCAGGTGGGCTCTACCCGTGAGCTGCATCCCCAACACTTTTGATTTTTTTATTTGAGACAGGGCCTCACTAAGTTGCTCAGACTGGCCTCCAGCTTGCAATCCTCCGGCCTCGGTCTCCTGGGTCTGGGATCACAGCTGTGCACACCTGCACCAGGGTGTAACTCTTTAGGGAGCAGCCTCTGCACATACAACTGCACGCTTAGACACACACATTATCTAATGACGTGAAAGTCCACTGTTTGATGGCCCACATTTGGTTGGTATTTGAAGGTTGTGTAGGAAAGTGCTCACATGGTCTTGGCTGTGAACTCCTGGAAGGTGAGAATCAGGCTTCTCGACTCTGAAGCCCGGTGCCGGAACTCAGGTAGGGTAAACCGATCTGAAGATGCCCGAGCTCCCCTCCTCTTGAGCGCTCTGAGGGCTTCCTGCAGCAAGCCCAGGAGAGTCCGTGGCCTCGCAGCACAGCAGGTCCAATCGCACACGGCGTGTCCAACCTGGCCCTCTGATCTCACTGCAAACGTTGGCTCTTTTCTAAAAAGCCAGCCCTGAGCAAGCAAATGCATTTCACTTTGCTCTGGCCTTTGCAGCTCACAGGGCTGTTTTATGTCTTGCCAAACGCAATTGCCTCATGTAGGAAGGCTCTTCCCGTCAGGTCCCTCCATAAATGGTGGGTTGCAGACACAGACTCCTGTGGCCTCTATCTGAAGTCCCCATACTTATTCTTCCTGACTCCTGTAACTGCAAGGAGATTTGCAAGGCTTTTGAAGTGCAGGCTTGCCTTTTGGGAGCATACAAGGTCCTCCTTTCCACGCGGGACATCCCAGACGTTCTTAATGACCCTAACAAGACCATCAACAGCCGTGAAGTTTCCACTGAATGGTGACTGATGAGGAGCCTGGCTTACTTCTGTACACGGTGCACCATGAATCGCAAGCAGACCATGCTGCAGAGTAGCACATTTGCATGCTGATGGGAATTTCTGGGTCTAAATCTGCAGGA